TAGCCCCCAGCTCCTCAGTCCCGCAGCGAAGAGCTCTCGCTCACAGCCCTGCCCGCAGATTTCTTCTTCTCCCGGCTCCGGCAGGGTCTGCCTGTCCCTCTCCTACCTTCTTGCCCAGCATTCACACCCTTAACAATTGATTTCTCCACCTCTCCCGTGCCATGCCCGAGGCCATCCTGACCGCTCCTGCTCCCCCCAGCACGAGCAGAGCCGCTCCAGCCTCCTCCTCCCGCTGCAGGCTCCCAGGTTCCTCGCTTCCCACCGCATCTCCTCGCTCACCAAGGTAAGCAGGAGGGCCTTTGGAAGCCCTAGGGCTCCTGCGTGCCACCAGGCGAAGGAGGATTGCCGAATTCACAGAAACAGGACCAGAAGGGGTCACAAGAGGTTTGTCCCATCGCGCCAGACTCCAGCCCAGCCCCTCCTGACAGGCTCTGCCTTGTTTTCTCCACGGGATTCATCTGACCAACCGTACACTTCCGAAAGATTCAAGATACTCTGTGGAGGTTTAGCCAATACAGTCCGCAGACCCCCAGAGCAGTTCATTTCTAGCACAGACACTGCTGGGAGACCTCCTGACAAAGCTGGGACAGCAACCCCCCCTCCTCCCGGGCTGGGACAGCAACCCCCCCTCCTCCCGGCACCCCCTGAACCCACCTGTGTCAGCTTCCATGGGGACGGCATCTTCGCCCAGAGCCTCTTCCTTCTGGTCCGTCTCTTCTGGCGCCTGCGGGGGCTCCCGCTCTCCTCCGGCACATGCCTGCGGGGGCTCCCGACCGTCTTTGGCGCAGAGCTCTTCATCCCTCTCGATCCGTGAGAGGATGTCAGGCTTGGACACCGCGTAGTCTGCTCACGGACAGAGGACACGCTTTGTCGAACTCTCGGGTGTTGCCAAGTGCCCCTCCTCTCCCTCACCCCGGCGCTGGCAGGCAGTCCAACAGACACAAACCACCCATGCTCTAACCAGGAAGGGGGTGCTGCTTTCTGGGCCCCGTGGCAGGATCCACCCGTGAGCACGGCTGTAGCTCAGGTACGGAGAGAATCTAAACAGCAGAACGCAACTAAAACCCTAAAGGAGAGGGAAAGGCCTGGTCTTCAGCATTCTCCTCCCATTTCCACTGTAGCAGTGATTTGAACAATCCTTCTGAACTATCAGAACTCCCCGCTCCGCAGAGAAGTCTGCATCAGATGGACCACGGAAGGAACAGGTTTGCTCCTTTCTGCAGAATATTGCTGAGAAAAGCGAAGCCTCAACTTCAGTGGCTGCACAGAACAGCAGGTGACGAGTCGTGCCCCAGGAGGAGCTTTTGGTGGGGAATATCCTACAGCCCCAGTCACCCCAGAACACGTCCAGTGCCCTTAGAAAGACCGAGCACGATTGAGTCAGTGCTTTACCAAAAGAGGGAAGTGCCCCCGTCACCTCACACAGGGGCTCAACAGACAGAGAACAACAGCTAGTTCAAGATGCAATCACCAAATTTCACCCAGATAATTCCTGAACGGTGCTGGAAAATCCTGATGGGTCCCTGACCCTGGAATCCACTTACGTAGTTTTCAGCAACAGCACCTCACCCAGAGAGCTTTTACAATCGACGCCGCTTGGCTCGCTACCGCTGCCGTTCCGTGCTGCAGACCCCTCTTACACCGCTCCTCGCCTCACCCGCGGGAAGGAGCGTGGGTCTGGCTGCCCAGGAGAGGTTCTGCCACCTACAGGGGTCCAGCCCCACCGAGCCAGACCACCGGCCTCCCCGCAAGAGCAGCTCCCCCAGAGGCACAAACCCTGTGCCTTACCCAGGGAGATCAGCGTCTCGTAGTTGCCCCTCATCACAGCCCTGTACAGATCCTTCTGCCAGCGGTCCAGCCTCTCCCACTCCTGCTCGTTGAAGTACACCGAGACGTCGTCGAACGTGAGGGGCACCTGCAAGCACAGTTATTCCACCCTCGGTGACTTCTGGTGCGGTTAAGGTCACTGGAAAGCAGGCACGGGCAAGTGAGCGCTTGGCTTTGCTTGCCAGAGCTCAGGGCAGGCACCGAGCAGTGTCCCCGGCCCGATCAGGGCTTGCGAGCAGCAAGGCCAGGCCTTGCAGGTGCTCGGCCACCCGAACCCGCTGCTAAGACCCCTCCGGCATTTCCTAAACCCCCTCCACAGCCCCGGCGGCGGCGCTGGTGGTGCCAGGGGCCGGGCCGGACGCTTTTACCTTGGGGATCTCGCCCCGGGAGCTGGGGGGCAGCCGCAGGATCCAGAAGTTTCTGTTCTTCAGGAGATTCTCCACGTTGTCCAGGCGCTGCTGGAGGTGCCCGTAGTCCTGCAGGAGGCTGCCCAGCGTGGCCAGGTTGCTGCCCAGCTCCCC